TTCATGGCCCCCACCCGCCGCTCAGGATGGGGGAGGGGGGGAGGACAATAGGTCCGCCCCCCCTTATTGTAATGTATGTCTTTTTTTTTCAACAGTGAGCAGCCTATGGCTGCTCACTGTTTAGTAGACATGCCCCTACTCGCGGTATAGCGAGTAGGGGCATTTGGGAGATTTTAATCATCCTTGTGCTATTATGGGGGTCATATTGACCCCCATAGAGTGAGAGGGTGTACTGGGGGGGCTTATGAAGTGGTGGGGAGCACTGCTCCCTGCCGCTTCTATAGTTACATATTACAAGGAGGGAGCTGCATGCCGGTAGCTCCCTCCTTGTAATAAACTAAACGAACAAACAAACACTGATACTCAGATACACTGATACATTGTGTTTGTTTGTTCGGCTGATATTTCTATTCACTCATTCGCCTTTCTGATGAATGAATGAATAGATGAAATTCCCGTTCGCATGTCCAGGTGTTTCACTGGGCATGTGCGGGAATCTCACAGTCTGCCTAGTGTGGGCTGATGACGTGTCCCTGAGGGACTTCACCTACCCACACAAAGATGGCTGCGCCCTGAATCAAGATCGGGGCAGAAAATAAGGATTTAAAAATAGGTAATGTGGGGGGCTTAGGGGCATTTGGGGGTGACTAGTGGGTCAATTGGATGTAGTGGAGGCGGGAGGGGGGTTAAAAAAAAAACGGGATTCGGCATGACAGTGCCGCTTTAAGCATACACTCATGTCTGTGGTTGCAGGCTGCCCCAGCAAGCGTTACTGGTATTCTCAGCAGTTATTTACTGTCTAGATATTTTGCCTGTTTTACAAGACTACATTCCAAGCCCAATCTAGATATGTTTCCTTAGCATGTTTATTAGCCTGTCATTAAAGATATAAAAAATGTGCATGTTCTCTCCAACTGCCTTACTACATGTAATATATGTATTTTGTTGTTCTTGTCATTGGCTGTTGTGGAATGACTAGACGATTTGTATAGAAACATAGAAACATAGAAACATAGAATGTGACGGCAGATAAGAACCATTCGGCCCATCTAGTCTGCCCAATTTTCTAAAAACTTTCATTAGTCCCTAGCCTTATCTTATAGATAGGATAGCCTTATGCCTATCCCATGCATGCTTAAACTCCTTTACTGTGTTAACCTCTACCACTTCAGCTGGAAGGCTATTCCATGCATCCACTACCCTCTCAGTAAAGTAATACTTCCTGATATTATTTTTAAACCTTTGTCCCTCTAATTTAAGACTATGTCCTCTTGTTGTGGTAGTTTTTCTTCTTTTAAATATAGTCTCCTCCTTTACTGTGTTGATTCCCTTTATATATTTAAATGTTTCTATCATATCCCCCCTGTCTCGTCTTTCCTCCAAGCTATACATGTTAAGATCCTTTAACCTTTCCTGGTAAGTTTTATCCCGCAATCCATGAACCAGTTTAGTAGCCCTTCTCTGAACCCTCTCTAAGGTATCAATATCCTTCTGAAGATACGGTCTCCAGTACTGTGTACAATACTCCAAGTGAGGTCTCACCAGTGTTCTGTACAATGGCATGAGCACTTCCCTCTTTCTACTGCTAATACCTCTCCCTATACAACCAAGCATTCTGCTAGCATTTCCCGCTGCTCTATTACATTGTCTGCCTACCTTTAAGTCATCAGAAATAATCACCCCTAAATCCCTTTCCTCATATGTTGAGGTTAGGACTCTATCAAATATCTCTGCCCTTGGGTTTTTACATCCAAGATGCATTATCTTGCACTTATCCACATTAAATGTCAGTTGCCACAATTCTGACCATTTTTCTAGTTTACCTAAATCATTTGCCATTTGGCTTATCCCTCCTGGAACATCAACCCTGTTACATATCTTAGTATCATCAGCAAAAAGACATACCTTACCATCAAGACCTTCTGCAATATCACTAATATAAATATTAAAGAGAATGGGTCCAAGTACAGATCCCTGAGGTACCCCACTGGTGACAAGTCCAAGCTTCGAATATATTCCATTAACTACAACCCTCTGTTGCCTGTCACTCAGCCACTGCCTTACCCATTCAACAATATTTGAATCCAAACTTAAAGATTGCAGTTTATTGATAAGCCTTCTATGTGCAACAGTGTCAAAAGCCTTACTGAAATCTAGGTAAGCAATGTCTACTGCACCACCCTGATCTATAATTTTAGTTACCCAATCAAAAAAATCAATAAGATTAGTTTGGCATGATCTCCCTGAAGTAAACCCATGTTGTCTCTGATCTTGAAATCCATGTGTTTTTAGATGTTCATCAATCCTATCCTTTAACATGGTTTCCATCACTTTCCCCACTACTGAAGTAAGGCTTACTGGCCTATAGTTGCCCGACTCCTCCCTATTACCTTTCTTGTAAATGGGCACAACATTCGCTAACTTCCAATCTTCTGGGACTACTCCTGTTAACAATGATTGGTTAAATAAATCTGTTAATGGTTTTGCTAGTACACCACTAAGCTCTTTTAATAGCTTTGGGTGTATTCCATCAGGTCCCATTGACTTATTTGTCTTTACTTTTGACAGTTGAAATAGAACCTCTTCCTCTGTAAACTCACGTGTAATAAATGACTCATTTATCCTTTTTTCTCAACTGAGGTCCCTTTCCTTCATTTTCATCTGTAAATACAGAACAAAAATATTCATTGAGGCAGTCAGCTAGACCTTTATCCTCTTCTACATACCTTCCTTCTTTTGTTTTTAATCTAACTAATCCTTGTTTTACTTTTCTTTTCTCATTTATGTATCTAAAAAATGTTTTATCCCCCTTTTTTACTGACTGTGCTATTTTCTCTTCTGTGTGTGATTTGGAAGCTCTTATAACTTGCTTAGCCTCTTTCTGCCTAATCTTATAGATCATTTTGTCTTCCTCACTCTGGGTTTTTTTATAATTCCTAAATGCTAACTTTTTGTTTTTAACTATTTTGGCCACATCTGCGGAGTACCACAGTGGTTTCTTGAATTTTTTGCTTTTACTGACAAGCCTAATGCAATTTTCTGTTGCCTTCAATAGTGCAACTTTTAAATAATCCCATTTTTCTTGGACTCCATTTAAATTGCTCCAGTCTGATAATGACTCCTCTACCCATATTCTAATTTTAGAAAAGTCTGTTTTTCTAAAGTCTAAAACTTTTGTTTTTGTGTGGTGTGACTCAGTCACTGTTCTTATATTAAACCACACTGACTGATGATCACTGGATCCTAAACTTTCACCTACAGTAACATCTGATACCAAATCTCCATTTGTTAACACTAAATCTAGTATGGCCTCTTTACGAGTTGGCTCCTCAACAACTTGTTTTAGAGACAATCCCAGTAGGGAGTTTAGAATATGTGTGCTCCTGGCACAAGTAGCTAATTTTGTTTTCCAATTTACATCAGGAAGATTAAAGTCACCCATGATGATAACTTCCCCCTTCATTGTCATTTTAGCTATTTCCTCAACTAGTAGATTATCTAACTCTTCACTTTGTCCTGGGGGCCTATAAATCACACCTACACGAGTTACTGTGTGATTACCAAATTCTAACGTAGCCCAAACGGACTCTATGTTTGCCTCACTAACTTTTATTAGGCTAGATTTTATGCTATCCTTCACATACAAGGCCACCCCTCCCCCTTTCTTGCCTTCCCTATCTTTCCTATATAAAGAGTACCCTGGTATTGCTATGTCCCAGTCATTTTTCTCATTGTACCATGTCTCAGTAACAGCGACTAAATCTACACTATCAGTTGCCATTATTGCCACAAGTTCATGGATCTTATTCCCTAAACTGCGAGCATTTGTAGACATGACTCTAAGCTTATCATTTTTTATACCTCTGCACAGCAAAATTAAAGAATATAAAAAATAAAAAAAACAGTCTCCTCAAGGGCCTTATTCAGGAGTTCTTCCTCATATCCTTTATCTCTAAAATCATTAAAAAAAAATGTATAGATTGCTGATTAAATTCCTTTTCTTCTGTACAATTATGTTTAATCTTTAATAATTGTGACTTCTGTACATTTCTCAGCCATGGAGAGAAATGGCAGCTGCCCTCTTCTACATAGCTATTAACATCTACTGGTTTAAAAAACAGAAATTAACTTTTAATTTCGAATAAATCTAAAAACAATGATAGAAACAATAAAATTTCATTTATTTGTGATTTTAACTGTAAACATCGGTAATTCTACCTGTTGGGTTCTGATAGTAGATTTGTGTTTATTTAGTCTCTCTCGGACCTTCATTGTGGTCTCTCCAACGTAGAGGAGATCACATGGACATTTAATAGTGTATACTACATAAGAGGATTCACATGTGTAATATCCTTTTATGTAGTAAGTGCGACCAGTGTGTGGATAGAAAAATGTGTTACTCTTAATAACTGAATTGCATGAACTACAATTATGGCATGGAAAACTGCCAAATGTTGGTGTAGACAAAAAAACGCTGCTTTTTTTTAGTTTAAGAGGACCAATATTTGCTCGAACAAGAAGGTCCCTTATATTTTGCGGTCTTTTATAAGAAAATTGGGGAGAAGGCTGGAATTCAGGGATTTCTGGAAATGATTTCTTTAAAACACCCCATTGTCTCCATAGAATGTGTGCTATTCTATGACTATGTGGATTAAACTGGGATACAAAAGGTATTCTAGGTGAATTATTCATATTTTTTCTCTTAGGTATCAGAAGGGAATCTCTCTCTCTATACTAAGTATCTTATTCTTTTCATTATCTAGAAGCTTGGCTGGATAGCCGCGATTCTTAATTAATTTTTTTTACCCATCTCTTCCAAATGTTCTAAACGTGTGACTGGATTTGATACATTCCTAACCACCCAGGGATATTGACTAGTGAGAGACAGAATAAAAAAGAAAAAAATCCAGAAAAAACACGTCAAAAAAGTTATAAAATGATTTGCATGTCATTTCTTTGTTAGTGGACAAACGTTTAAAATCAGCAGGGGATCAAATACTTTTTTCCCCTCACTGTATATATATTTAATATAATGTATATAAAAAAAATTTTCTTATACAATCTACCATTCAGCCCATATTTTCACAAATATTCTTTTCATTCTAGTGTGAAGTTTCTTCTTGTCCTTCACGGCATTCTTGGTTCGTCTACTTGGTTGACTACGCTTTGTGTTTTGAGGACTATTTTCTGGGTTACACGGTTGACTTTAAGTTTCAGCTGCATCAAGAAAGAGGAGTTGGGAGGAGTCTGAAGCTAGAATAATCCCTAATTAATTCTGTCACTTACTCTTCAGTCTTGTCTACGGTGGGAAGTGCTATTCATCCGGTCTCTGGGTGATGATTGGGCGATATCACTGGGGAAGCTCAGGATGCTACTTAAGTAGCCATAAAGTTCCAGGTTGCTGCAGTATCTCCTGGAAGTGACCAGTAGCTTGGAGAGGGGACAAGCACAGTAGCAGGTCCAGGTCTGGGTCTAAAGCCATGGACCAGGCACATTGTTCCCATTAAAATACCTCTCACCCGTTGCCAATGGATGGAAGAGGATAGGAGGGGATATTACATAAATTAGAAGTAGAAAATTCACATACAGACATATATATATAGGGCAACTTTTTAGCAGACTGTGCCAAAACAAGACTTCGAAATCTCTTGACGTGCCAGTCCTATTTTTTTTTTATTAACATGTATGTACATTGCTGCATGCGTTATATATACGCGATGCTAAACACGCAGTAACAATGATAAAAAACAAACTAAAAAAAGCACAGCTACTGCAACACAGACTAGTACATCCATACATTGAAGATGTTATTTTAAGCCACCCTCCTTTTTGCTTACCATTTAGCAGTAGGAGGGTGACTTCCCTAAGGTTCAAGGGGACCGGTCTGGCCAAGGTGCTTCAGATTGCTCCTGCATGGTTTTACGTTCACAAGTTCTGGAATAGATCTTGGATCACTTCCTCCCAGTGCTGCTAAGAGTGAATTTAAAGCTGCCCCTCACCTCCTGCTCCAATCAGGTACTAACAGATATCTGAAGAGGTCCTTCTGGTAACTCTGCCAGGCCAGCTCTTGGTGATATTCTCATATCATCTCAGCCTGTTTGGGTCTGGCAGCCTTGGGTGCTGTAGAATGATAACACGTTATATATACATATACAGTTTTAAATTGTCTAAATGTTTTGTTTTTTTACTTTATATAACCGCAATGTCCAGTTAGTAAATTAATGCAACTGTATGGGAACAATAACAACTTCATCAAAATTAAGTTGTTATGGTGCCCAAAGGTTTAACTCCAAAGGTTGATCTTCATTTTTATCTTGTTTTGTCACTGATACATCCAATATATAATAATCCCCCCCCCCCATAGGCGTGCGCACAGGGTGTGCCTGGGTACACCCTAGTCAAGCCTCAAAATTGAGGCTCCGTGCTGCACTGCAATGCCGGCGCAAAAATCAGAATCCCCTGCCTGTGGCTCTGGATTCGGATTTTTCACATTACCTGCTGTCTCCCTGCAGTCAGCCAGAATAGAGCAGCCAGGGCAGTCGGTCCGCAATCCGCTGCGGAGTCTGAGAAAAGAGTAGTGGAAGTCACGCCCCCTCCTCCTGACGTCATCAGGAGAGGCTGGCCGACTTCCCTGTCTGCAGGCTTCTGCTCCAGGCTCCTGTTCACCCCTCCCTGGCCTAAGGTAAGACTCAGGGGTGGGAGGATTATTTATTTTTATTTTTTTTGTCAGCCCATGCCCCCCTCTACAGCCCCTGCCCACCCTTACAGCTCTTTTGCCTCCCACCACTGCCCATATCCCCTTCTCTACAGCCCCTGCTCCCCTCCCAACAGATCTTGTCCCCCCCCCTTGTACATACCCTATCCCCCACCACAGCACCTGTGCCCCCTTTCCACCAGGAATAAGGTGGTCTCAACCCCTGTGTTTTGGGAGAGGGGCAAATGCTACTTTGCCTGTGTAGCTAAATGTTAGTTTATATTGCTATTTAGAGAGATTATATCTATATATATCTATATATATCTATCTCTATTAGACACATACACGTGGCGTGTGTGTTTGTGCTTTAGGGTGCTCACCCTAATGCAATAGGCTACGCACACCTATTATCCTCTATTCATAGATCCTAAACCTCAATGACCTACGGGCCACTGTGATTTAATAAGGTGTTTTTTTGCCTATTCAACTGCAATTCACCTATTTCATATTAAGTGCACATATTATTGCCATTTATATAGCGCCAACAGATTCCGTAGCTCTTTACAATATTATGGGGGGGGGGATGTAACTATAAATAGGACAATTACAAGAGAACTTACAGGAACAATAGGTTGAAGAGGACGCTGCTCAAACGAGCTTACAATCTATAGACACAATTTTGTTTAGGAGAAACAAGTATTTCCTATTACACGCATTTTAACTGTGAACGTCATAATACTGTTAGTTTTTACTGCAATAAAATACACATATTTGCATTCAGCGATGTCTCATGAGTACAACAGTAGCCCCAATACCCAGGTTTTCTGGCGTTTTGGAAAGTTACAGGGTCAAATGTAAGGCTTGCCCATTTGAGTTTTTACACATTGCAATTTGCCGGATTGGTAATGTTATCTTTGAGACCGTATGGCAACCCAGGAATGAGAATTACCCCAATCATGGCATACCATTTGCAAAAGTAGACAACCCAGGATATTCAAAATGGGGTATGTCCTTTCTTTTTTTAGTATTCACATATTTGTTTTTTTCCTTGCACACACACACTGCACTTTCACGGTTATTGTTGTGATACACTTTGTTTGGAAAAACTCATTTGTGTTCAGCAAAGTCTCCCGAGTACCCCCATGTATAGGTTTTATTGTGTTTTGGAACGTTACAGGCCAGGGATTGTAAATTACTACTAACGAAAACTGGACAAAACCATTTTGAACACCTTGGGTTGTCTACTTATGAAAATGGTATGCCATGATAGAGGTAATTTTCATTTCTAGGCTACCCTATGTTCTTAAAGGCAACATAGACCCAGCAAACCAAACTGAAAAGGGCAGGCTGTTTATTTGACCCTGTACCTTTTCAAACACTATGAAACCATTATTGTTCTCATGGGACATCACAGCATACATATATGTGTTTAGTTGCAGTTAAAGCAAACAGTATTATGACATTAACAATTAAAATGCCATGCAGAATTTGGAAGATTTCTCACAAAGTTTTTTTTAGATTTTATTCAAATTACATTGTTTCATATATAAATATTTGGTGTGAAATGAAAGTCATATTTCTCCTGAACAAAATGATATAAGTAGGTGTGCACTTAATACAAAGAGGTAAAAGTATGGTTGAACAGATCAATAGCTCAAAATCTAGGTTTTGCTTTGGTTCGTGTTTTTGGACATTTGCCCAAAGTCCTTAGGAGGTTAAACTAAGCTCGTTTTTAAAGTTGTACATACAGAAAAGTAGTAACTATTTTCCTTATGAATAACCTTCATATTTGGCTCAAACTGGGGACTATTCTAGCCACAGTCTTATATTTCCCTAGTCAAAACTAAAGTAGATGGAGATAACCTTCAAGTATTGGTAAATATTTATTCAAAATACTCTTAAGCGGTGCTGTGTGTGTGTGTGTGTGTGTGTGTGTGTGTGTGTGTGTGTCTCACTGTAGTCTCTAGGGTTTCATCAGTTAAACAAAACAAACAGGACAACACACTCGCGCAAAAATTACTTTTGCTTATTTATTCCACTGTGACGAACATATAAAACAATGAAAGTACACTCTTGAAAAAAAGAAAATAAAATGGTACATTGAAAACCGCTTTGGAAAATACTGCAGTTATATAGAAAAAAGGGCCCGTTTAAACCATCAGTTTTAGATGTGCATATGTTTTCAGTGCTATTATGGCACCCATAATAGTTTGGCATCAAACCTTGACATACCCAAAATAAGGAGAGGCCCTACATCTGAAAAACTGACAGGAGTTCTTATATTTTTATATGTAATATGAATCCTATGACCTAGATTGTAACAGGCTGCAGACTCGGCAGACTATGGAGTATTCGTGTTAGCTTCTTTGTAGAATGACATTGCTCAAATTATTTAGCTTCAAGAGAATCAATGCCCTCACATACCAACCAGAAAAAACACTACACATTGATGTATCACTGGCTGGCTCTAATCATAGTGCAGAGGGCAACAATAAAAAAGTCTGACCACATATTTAAACTGCTGTGGTCCAGAAAAGAAGAACTGGCAAAGAGACTTACTAATTAATCAAACCTTTAACGGTTACGTGAGTAGCATTTGTTTAACGTACATATGCATACACACATCTCCTGAAATGCTGATTTACCTGTATGTACCTGAGAATGCAGTAAAGCAAAAAAATAAAAGGAAGATAAGACCCATGAGTCCTGCAGTTATTTCTTGCTTATGGATGAGCACCTGGGCATAAACAAGGTATTAATGCCATTGAGTTTTCTGTTTGTGTATTATATAATAATATTACACATACACAGACACTGCTTAAAAGTTCAAGTTCTACACTATTATTTAGGCCTTAAACGTTCCTCGCCACTTTGAAGCCTGGAGTGTGAACCCCCCAATAGACAGAATGAATAGATCACTTCTGAATATAGTCTTAATCATTAACGAAATGCACAAACCAGAGATTTTGTGTTCTTTCCAATTAAAATGGAGTGGTTTGTACAATAGAACATCTGCTCTGTTTAAAATTAGCTTTTTTAAGGTGGTGCGTTATGTTCCTTTAGCAGTTAATTTTTAGATGTTTATTTGTTCTTATTCAATACAACCTTCCGAACATAAAAGAAATAGCTAGAAAAACAGATACAAATACATCAGCACAAAAAGTGAAATTTACCAATAAAATAGGAAATATCCACATTCTGCTGGCATTTCTTATCACCGTTAGAACTTGAGCAATTCCATTCCAATGTAGTTCCACAGGATTAAAAATAAAAGTCACACACATTCATATTTAAGACAGACAAGTAAAAAAGCCCCCCTATTTACAATGGCAGTATTAAATTAATGTTTTCGTAAACAGGACCGTACACAACTGCTTACTCTGTTAATGTAACAACCCTTCTCACATGATGAAATTTAAGGCTGGAGAAAGGTGCAAGTGTGAAAATGTCTAATTACACTGAGTTGCTTGGTCTTTGGCACTGAAAATTACATGCAATAAGGCCGGAAGCCTGTTCCAGCACAGGACATGAAGACTGAAAGACGTTCTAGAATTCACAAGTGATGGCGCAGCCAACGAATGGTTTCAAGAAAATCTGAAAAAGTGCGTTCTTTCAGACATAATAACTACTACAAATTCTCATTTACGGTTGAATTGAAAACCGAATCTTTGCTGGACTTCTTTGTGATGGCCTCCTGCAAACAGATTGAGAGAAACATTTAATTACAGTGACATTTAGCAACCAGAATTACAAAGAATCAGTTACAGCCATGCAAAAAAGTTTATTGGGAAGTCATTTCTTCATTAAGTTCTGTTAATAAAAAAGCAGAGCAATAAACATGCACTTATGTCAATAGATGGCATGCAAGTAGAACAATTGCAAAAGAGAAGGCTGATAAAGTGCGAATTTTTCCCAAAAGGTGACACATTGGAGAGCTTGCCCAGAGTATACATTTCCTGGAAGTTCATTTCAGTAGTGTAACATGGGTGTTTGTTTTTCCCTCCCCTCTTCTTACTTAAAAAGAAAATACAAAAAAAAACTAGCCAGTAGGTGAAAGTGATGCTTCATATGAATAAAATAAACATTTTATTTGAACATAAAACCTATGTCAGACTAATCACACTTTCATACAGAGTAAATCACAAGACCAAAAGGCAGAAAAATAAACTTCACACAGTTTCATCGACTCCCAGCAGATTCCTACAAGGCGTAAGCAGTCATTTAACACCTGCACATCTACTGAGAGATAATTTTAGACTTTGGATTGTACAAGGGTCTACTAAAGGACATATATAAATCAGAAAAGCCACATAAACATATATAGGTGCAACCTGACTTTTCTTAAAGAAATGCTCTAAGCACCAAAACAACTTTCACCTAATGAAGTGGCCTCTGCAATTCTCTGCTATTGAGTGAAGTCACTTTGTGCAGCCCTATATATACTTTCCTTGGCTCGGGCTCTGCCTCCATGGAAGAAAGAAGAAAATAAAAAGTTTTGTTTTTAATCGCAGAGCCTGTTTACTTTACAATAAATTTCCCCTTGGTCTGATCAACGGTGGCTCCTGGAGGGACTCTGCAATAAAGGGAGTTAAAAATATATAAACTTTTTCAGGATCTGTGTAGGGAGGCTATGAGAGTCTTATCCATAGTAGGTGTGTCGCTAAGGCTTACTTCCATTAAAGGCAAATAATTGAGCAGTGAGTGTGCACAGGCATAATCTATACACCAAAATGGCTTAGTTAAACTAAAGTTATTTTGGTATTTCGAGTATCCCTTTAAATGAACACTATAGGATTAGGAATACAAAACTGTATTCCCATTCCTATCGTGTGCCTTTATCACCCCCCCCTCCCAACCTCAGTCAAGAAAGTGTTAAAAATCCCTTTTCCACTTACCTCTTTCCAGCATTAGAGTTCCCCCATAGGAAAGCATTAAATCAATGCTTTCATATGGGGAATTTGAAGACGTCAGACTTGCTCATGCAAAGTGTGAGGACGTCTAACATAATTTCATGGAATAAACTGTGGTAGAGAGCCACTAGAGATGGTTTTAACCCTGCATTGTAAACAGTGCAGTTTCTCTGAATTGCAAGGTTAAGGGGACATTGCCTCTGCACCCAGACCACTTCAATGAGATCTAGTGGTCTGGATGCCGATAGAGTCCCTTTAAGGAGACAGAAAAGGCATTTATATTAGCTACAACAAAAATGTGGACATGGAAATTTCTAGAAATAATGACTCCCTGGTGTTTGTTAGGCCTTAAAGCTTTAGATCCTGCTGTATGAATGAACGTTTCCCTGAAATCCCTGATTGCAGATATATTTTCACAAATCATGTTCACATAGGAGCATATACATACAAAAAAAAACAAAACAAAAAAAAAAAAAACACAACGCAATGGTGAAGACAAAATATTGGTTCAAAAAAAAAAAAAAACAACAAAATAAACTAAATTATTCCACAAGGAGAAATTAAATGAATGGATATTTATACAATTGCCCAATCTTTTGGAGTTCTGGGCAAGAAAAACTGCCATGTTACAATAGGTTTCCTCTGGTCACAGTTTTATGGAATGAACCATGTGACCAAGAAAAGATATCAGCACTGCCCTTATTGATGTGCGGACCAGGTTTAGTACATTCAAAGGGTCAGTCCAAGCACTATGATCACTTCAGTGATTCTGCTCAAAACGCTGGACATACAACCTGCACTTTTTTTTTTTTTTGAAGGCGGCCCGTTATAACCCCCAAAACATTGTCATGGGATGACATGTGCTACCGTTGCCCATTACTGCTCAGGCCAATTCTGGGGCTGCTGGGGACTTTCATTCAGCAATAAAACTTTAAACACTGTTTAAAGCCGAATAGAGGAAAGGCACCAGGAAAAAAAAAAAAAAAGCAGAAACTAACCACTTCAATGTGAAAGCAGTTAGAGTGTCTACAGTATACCATTAAATGCCTACAATAGTAGTATACTCGTCTGATGCTGGGCACATGAGGTATTTGTGCTTTGCCGTGTGTAGAACACAACCCAGTTTTCAAAACGATTCTGCTGCTTTCAGTGTATAAAACAGATCCACTAATCCTACGTGACATGTAAACATCCTCTCAGCTGCAGGAACTTTAAAGGAGCGTATGTGTGAGGTGCATTTTATAGTATCATAGCAGTTACAGACTACAGGACCTAGAGTAAAGTTACTTCCTTTAGCCTTCGTGCTCATGGCATTAAATCACCACTGGTGCTGGTGGAACAAATGATGAATTTACAAAACAAAGGAGATTTGAAGGACAAAATTATGTCAGATATTTAAAAAAAAAAAAATATA